AGGGCTGGCTGCGGCTCAAGTGCCTCGTAGCACGGAAGAGTGCGCGCGCCTGGTTTTCCGTACTCTTGAGGTTTCTGCGCGGCCCTCCGGACATCCTTCCCGGACCCCCACTCCCTTCCTGACCCTACCCCAGTCCCACGTCCAACTGCCACCCTTGGAGTTTGCTTGCTAGTCCCTGTTTCCTAAGGACTATGCTCGCAGCAGCTTCTAGAAATTAAGAACAGATTTCTGTGTCCCGCTCCTTTTAGAAAAACGTCATAAGGGGCTCTGTTGCACCACAAACGCCTACTAGCAATCGTCTCCCCGCCTAGTAAACAATAGGACGCTCCAGAACCTAGGAACACCGGAGGCCCAAGACGCTCTTTTCTCAAGGCCTCCGCTTCTACCTAGCAACAGACGTGCCGACTCCGCCATTCGGCTCTCGCATTAGCCAACTTGAATAGTTATATGCAGTTCTGATTGGCTGGCTGTAACCGTCCGGGATTTTTCCAATTGGCTGAGGTGCCCGGGGACTTTTTCGGCTTGACGCGTCGGGAAGGTTGGAGAGGAGGAGCCACTTCTGCGGAGCTACTTTCCCGGGACCGGTTTGGATTGGACGCCGTGATGCAAGGAGTGCGACCCTTTAGCTGCTAAACTGTCGGGAAAACGGGTCCTTTTGTCTCCGTGCTCTCTCCGTACGCCAAGTTCAGTAGACTTCCGGGCTGCGGCGGGTGGGCAGGACTTGGACTTGCAACTAAGTTGCTGCGGAGTCGCCATCTGTGGGTTAGGCGCCCAGACCTCATTCTTAGCCGTCCCCTGCCTCGTTCCGCATGCTTGTTGAAGAAGTGCAAAGGAAGGGCAAGCAAGGAGGCAAGCTCTCTGGATTGTTTTTAAGATCTCGTCCCGCCTACTTCCTTGCACTTCCAGGTCGGGGGAGGGTGTGTCCAAAAACCCCCAACCAAACCCACCACCTTCGAGTGGATTCCCATTCGGGGACGACGTGACCGGCCGAGTACGGTAGAATTGTCCCAGTGGGTTTCCAAGGGTGCAGGTCTACGTCGTTCTCCGGCAGAACGACAGGTGGGTTCGAACCGCTGACCTTTTGATTAGCAACCAAGAGCTTAAACCACGGCACCACCAGGGCTGCTAGTCCAAAAACGAATTTAAAAAGGAGGGAGCAAAGTCCGCGGCGTCCTTCGCCCGCTGCAATTCCTTAGGGCCTTTCAGGGATCACTGCACCCGGAATCTCCCTTTTATCCATCATTTAATCTTTAGCTTTTCCCTCTCCACAAGCCTTTCCTAATTAGTTTCTGCATTTCTGGAGGCAGGAAAAAGACCACAGGGAGAAGAAGGTAGACCCTCCCGGAGAAGGGCAATTTCCCGCTTTCTGAGTCGGCTACCAAAATCGGTTCTTTGGCGCCCATCGTCTGGAGCGCCACTTGGCTCTTGTGACGCCTCGATTCTGTAGGAGGACTTATGGAGAAGCGCCTGCAGGAGGCTCAGCTGTACAAGGAGGAAGGGAACCAGCGCTACCGCGAAGGGAAGTACCGCGATGCCGTGAGCAGGTACCATCGAGCTCTGCTGCAGCTCCGGGGGCTGGACCCAAGCCTGCCCTCCCCAATACCTAACCTAGGACCCCAGGGCCCGGCCCTCACACCCGAACAAGAAAATATTCTGCATAGCACCCAGACAGACTGCTACAACAATCTAGCCGGTAAGAACGGGACGGAAGGGTGTGTGGGGTGGAGCCATCTGTGGACATTGGGGAAACCATTTTTAAAAATCGTTTTCCTGACATGCATTTGGAATCTTTCCAAGGCATTGGGCTCTCAGTGGGTTTCTACAGATCAGTGCTTCTCAAACTTAACCCCCCCCCCAAAAAAAAAAATTCAGATTAACTGCCCTGGATTCCCTGCCGACTCATCGTGACCCTATAGGACAGGGTAGAACTGCCCCTGTCAGAGCCCCAAACTGTAACGCTGTATGGGAGTAGAAAGCCCCTGCTTTCTCCTGATGAGCTGGTGGTTTAGAAATGAGAACCTTGAGTTTCGCAGGCCAAGGCATAAGCACTACGCCACCAGGCCACCTCCTCAAACGCTGTCTAAGCGTTGTTAAACACAACTCCACCCTTGGAGATCCTGATGTCGCCCTCCCGTCAAACTGAACTTCACAATTCCATTCCTTTAAGGAGTTAGGCACTCTTCAGAAAAAAGTACTGGCTGTGTGGTTAGGGTAATGCTTCTTGAAGGGAAATGTGATGAGTGGGAGAGATGCCGTAGCTTCAGTTGGTCAGGTAAGCGATCATCGGTATTTGAGGTCTTGAAGCGCTTTTCCTTATTCGCCTCCTAACTGATGGGTGCCAGACCAGTGGGTCCCCACCTTCCTAATGCCTCGACCCTTTCATACAGTTCCTCATTTCTGGTGACCCCCAACCATAAAATTTTTCCCATTGCTATTTCATCACTGTAATTCTGTTATGAATTGCATGACCCCTGTGAAAGGGTCGTTCAACCCCCAAAGGGGTCACGATCACAGGTTGAGAACCACTGTGCTAGACTGTGACCTGAAGTTGAGTGAATCCTTAAGGGCCACCAGGAGTCCTGGTAGTGGTCAGCTGCTGACCTGACGGAAAGGTCAGCAGTTCGGACTCACCAGCTGCTCTACAGGAGAAAGATGGGGCAGTCTGCTTCTGCAACATATGTTCAGCGCCCCCACGACCACCACCACCACCTCAGGAGGGATAAAAATGAGCTGATACCAAGGGCTCAAAAGTAGAAAGAAAATGTTTTGAGAATGAGGATGGCAACATATGTACAAATGTGCTTGGACACAATGGAGGTATATATGGATGGTGATCAGAGCTGTAAGAGCCCCCAATAAACTGATTTAAAAAAAACAACAACAAAGAATCAGCTTGGCGGCCTTGGGTTTGGCTTAGTCCGGATCTCACCGCACCTTCAAAAGTGGCAAGAGCTGCCGTCCTTTTGAGCGGGGCACCATTCTTCCCAACTCCGCCAGTCAAGAGATCTGGTTGCTATGCGGCGTGTCCACTGCCTTGTTTCCCAGACTGACTTTGGGTTGAGAGATGGATGCCAGAGTTTGTGTAGCTGAAATTATTATGCTGACAAGAGACTTCTTAGACCCTTTCTGTAGCAAGTAGATTAAGTAGAGCTGATGAGATGTCTTTGCAGTACAGTAAAAATGCTTAACAATCCAAGGTGGGGGTCATCCACATGATTAAAAGTAGGCATGTGTACACTTCCTAATGGCTCTTTTAACAGCTGCTAATGAGGACAGCTTCGTAACTAGCTGCTACCCAGTTGGTCCTGACCCAGAACAACTTTATCAGTGTACCACAGAGCAGAACACTGCCCGGCCCTGTGCCCTCCTCCACAACGGCTGTGTTGCACCGCAGACACTGGGTGAAGCCATCTTGCCGACGCTTTTCCTCACGCTCGCTGCCCCTCTACTCTACCAAGCACGGTGTCCTTTGCCCGGCACCGCTCTCTCCTGATCCAGTGTCCGAGACGAAGTCTCACCGTCCTGCCCTCTAAGGCGCACTCTGGCTGGCCGTCTTCCAGCACACACGTGCTTGTTCTTCTGGCAGTCCGCAGCACTTTCCAGATCCTTCGTTGGCACCATCGTTCAAACGCACCGTCCTCTTCGGTCTAACTTATTCAGTGTCCAACTGTCGCAGGCATCTGCGACCGTGGAAAGTACCGTGGCTTGGGGGCTTGGGTCAGGTGCACCTCGGCTCTCAGAGTAACAGCCTTGCTTTGCAAAAGGTCTTCTGCAGCACGTGCACCCAATGCAACGCATCATTTGGTCTCTTGGTCAGTGGTCATTTAAAACGTGACATACTCTCGTACAGTACGCATTAGCTTCGGCTAGATGCAAACCTACCTCGTTTCGACAAGGTGTAGTCCATAGGAGCATAGTCCTGTTGGAGTCAAATGACAAAAGCAGTACTTGTCCTCCTGAAAGGCGGCTCAGGGGTTAACGGCTCACAGGAAGGTTCCTGGCTGGAACCCCCGGCTGTTGCAGAGGGAGAAAGGTGGCAGTCGGCTGGGGTACAGGCGGTGGCGGTTGGTGTCGCCCTGTGTGTGAGGGAGGACACCCAGTGGCTACCGCAGTTCTAGGCCATCTCACAGTGACCGCTAGCTCACACAGTTGCAACTACTGTGTCAGCCCATCTCTGGAAGCGCTGCTCTTTTCCTGACCTACTTTCCCCAGGATGACGTCCTTCCTTCTCCAGGGACGGGTCCCTCCTGGTGACGCGACCAAATGCTGGACCAAGTCTTACCAAATGTGCTTCTCAGGAGCAATCTGCCAATAGTTCCTCCCAGACAGATTTGCTCATTGTTCTGGTAGTCCACGGTATCTACTCAGTCTTCTCTGCCAACATTATAATTCACCCGCACCAATTCATCATGGGTCTTCCTCGTGTAGTGCTCAGCTTTTGCGTGTAGATGAAGCGCTTGAAAATACCATGGCTTACGTGCTCGCTTCGGCAGCACATATACTAAAATTGGAAAATACCATGGCTTACTCTTCAAGGTGATATAGTTGTTTTTAAACACTTTACGGAGGTCTTTTGCAGCAGATTTGCCCAGTATAGTGCATAATTTGATTTTTTTCTTTTTATATTAATCATTTTATTAGAGGACTCTTACACATCTTAGAACAATCCATTACTCAATTGTATCAAGCACACTTGTACATATGTTGCCATCAACATTTCCAAAACATTTTCTTTCTACCTGAGCCCTTGGTATCAGCTCTCCCCCCCTCGTGAATCCTTGATCAATTAATTATATATTATTATTATTGTTATTTCGTATCTTGCACTGTCTGTTGTCTCCCTTCACCCACATTCTGTTATTTGTCCCCCTGGGAGGGGCTATATATCCAACCTTGTGATGGGTTCCCCCTTTCTCCCCCTTTCTTCCCCCCACCGTCCCCCTACCCTCATGGTATCCCTACTCCCACAACTGTTCCTGAGGGATTTATCTGTCTTGGATTCCATGCATCAAGAGCTCTTACCTGTGCCAATGGATGCACTCCTGATTTCTTTCTTTTAATTGTTTGATGTCTAGACTGCTGTTTCCACCGACCTTGTGGGTTCAAGTAGGATGAAACCCTTGGCACCGTTAGTATTTTCTCACTTAGCACGATGTTCGTTGTTCCTGTAAAGGTGATGGCCTTAGCGGCACTGGGGACAGTTCAGCTCCGGCCTGCAGTGTCACTGCAGGAGTTGCAGTCAGCTCCACGGCAGTGGTTTGGTTTGGTTTGGGAAGTTGCTAACGTTTCAGTTCATTCAACAGCGATGGTTACGTGTTGAGGATCCAGCAGTATAAGAAAACAAAAAGATCCCTGTGCTCTTGGAGTACACGTTTCAGTCGGAGAGATGGGCAGACAATAAACAAATGAACTAACGTATGTAACATGTTACATAGTGATAAAAAAAAACCTCACTGCCGTTGAGTTGGTTTGGACTCAGATGCCCTACAGGACCGAGTCGAACGGCCTCTGTGGGCTTCTGAGGCGGCTAATCTTTACAGGAGCAGAGAGCCGCAGCGTCCTCCTGTGAAGCGGTTGGTTGGTTTGAACTGCTGGCCTAATGGAACTAGGCTCCGTCCCAGCAAACAGGAAGGCATAGGGGCAGAGAGAGAAGTTCCCAGGTTCTGGCTGATAAAAAGACCCCCCATCTCCCAAGAGGCATCTTCAGGCCGTGACCTGATTGACAGGTTGGATTCCACCCCTGCCCCAGTGCAGGTGGACATAAAGCCTAACTGCCGCAGCTGCCCTGCAGGGTCACTGTGAGTCAGATGTGACCCACTTGAACTGTGAGCTATGTGACCACTTGGGGGTGCTGTAGAGGAGATGCAAACACAGCCTAGAAACCACCAGCCAGACCTCAAGAGAAAGACAAGACTTCTGCTTCCTTGAAGATTTGCAGTCCCGGCAACCCTCGGGTCGTTCCGCTCTGTCCTGTCATGCCCCTCGGAGTCAGACTCGCCTTGGTGGCAGGGAGTTTGGTTTGGGTTTGCAGGGCATCCCCAGTGCCTGGACGAGCCTGGCATGTGGGAGACGGTGAGTGTTTGCTGTTAATGTTCACATGAAGGCGTTCATGTTGCCGGTTTCGTGCCACGTTGCACCCTGCCAGTGGGACTGACTGCAGACCCTCTTCTCCCTTTCCTTTGCCCCGTTAGCATGCCTTCTTCAGATGGAGCCTGTGAACTACGAACGAGTAAAGGAATATAGTCAGAAAGTTCTCGAACGACAACCTGATAATGCCAAGGCCTTGTACCGGGCTGGAGTGGCCTTCTTCCATCTGCAGGACTATGACCAGGCTCGGCACTACCTCGTGGCTGCCGTCAACAGGCAGCCGAAAGGTGAGAGGGAAGGGAACTGAAGCACCGTGCGGACCAAGAAAAGGGCCCTCCCGGGCTGGAGTTAAGGAGCTCTGGTGGCGTAGTGGGTTCCACATTGGGCTGTGAACTTCCAGGTCAGCAGTTCAAAACCACCAGTTGCTCTGTGGGAGAAAGATGCCGCTTTCCACTCCTGTAAAGAGTTACAGCCTTGGAAACCCACAGGCCAGTTCTGCCCTGTCCTGTAGGATTGTTAGGAGTCAGCATCGACTTGATCGCAGTAGTAACCAAGCAGTGTATTTGAAGGGAAGGAGGCTATCTTTCTGTGCGTTTTCAGTGTGTTGAGTGGTTTGAATAGGGGATTCATTGACACCGTTCCCAATCCAAAACGTGAAACAAGATGCACAGTGAACAGACCTCCCCCACTCCTGTGAAGCTGGTCTCTAAGAGAAAGCAGTGTTAATGGACTCTTCTCCAGAAATGTTTGTGTGTAACCTCTGTGTGTGCATGCACACATGTGTGCTACAGCCACTCTCCGGGTTATGTCTGACGTACGGACAACCTACAGTTAACACACCAGCCTGTGTGCACTTCCTTCCTTGAGCAAAAACTCAGACCACGCACAGGCTGGACAAGGGGCCCCGGGGGGCATCTGGCCTCCTCGCTTCAGGCTTATCCTGCAGCAACAGGGGTTCACCCTGCTCCCACCCACTCCACCCACCTGGTAACCCAGAGGTGATGATGGTGTTCTAGACATTCTGAGTAGGCAGTGGCACACACAGCACTAGGGCACTTGGGGGAAGGGGGAGCTGGAGGGGGGAGGTGTTGTTGGGCGCCCTTCCCCGTTGTCTGCACTCAGGCACAGTGCACCAACTCCAGACCAGTCTGGACCTGAGTGCTAGGCTCCCCGGATAGGGAGGGCGGAGAGGGGGATCCCTGGCCACCACTGCCACCAGAGGAAGGTGAGAGGCTGAAAGCAGGCCTACCCCTGCCAACCATGCCCCTGAGGTCCTCTGGGCCAGCCCCGATTGCATGCAGCGGTGAGGGATGGAGGAGGAATGGACACAGGAAACACGGGAGGAAGTGGGACTGATGATGTGGCACCGTGTGGCCTGTGATCAGCAAGATGAAACAAAACGGGTGTGACGTGTTGAATGGAAAACTGACCTGCTCTCTAAACTTTCACCCAACTCATCATTCAAACCGTTTAAAAATAATAATAAAAAATCAAGCACTGGCCAGAGCCCTGGCAAATGCCGCCCTGCTGCTCGGAAATGGCTGAGGATTCCGGGATGTGCTGACCTCCCCGGTGCTTGGCTTGTGCCTGAGCTATTGTGCCAGCCGGTAGCTTTGCTAACCCCAGGAATGACCTAGGGTCAGGCCGACAGATCAAGAAGTGGAAGCTTGGTGCTTTGTGACAGATTCCTATCGGTGTCGGTTGGCTCAGCACTGAGAACTACTCCCTCTTTACCTTCTGACTTAGAGCAGCCACTGGGTGCTGGAAGCCGAGGCCCCACACGTGCAGCCAGGCCGCACCCTCCCACGGAATGCCTCGGTGAATAAGGAAACCCTGACTGCTCGTCCTGTGGATTGCTGACTCAGCTCCCGTGCACAAATTCATGGCCGCCTGTGAGGAGAGCATCCTGAGGGAGCTCTGCTGGGACGCCTTTGGCTTCAAGCAGCCCTTTTAAAATTTAGCTTCCAGCCTATTTAAATAAAAAAAAATCCCATTGTGATTTTCAATTCACAAGGACAGCAAATTCATCTCCCACTCAACCATTTAGACACACTTTGTCTCCTGGCATTAGTTGCGGACCCCGCCCACCCACTCCCATGGCACCAGCACTCTCCACTTGTTCCATCTGCCCCGTCCAGCCCCTTCCTGCCTTCAAGCAGTGTTTTCGGGCACGTGCTGCCCCTCAGCCTCCAGTGGTGGATTGTTCTGAGGGGCATGTGGAGTGCTGTTCACTTTACAGGTATCTCTGTTTGGCTGAAAGGTGATCTGGGAGTGCGTTCAGTTCCAGGTTTGAAGTGTGTCCAAGGGCCACAGCCAGTCTCTCTCAGGCCTGTAAGTCTGGTGGGTTTTTTTTTTCCCCTTGTGACTTTGAATTTTGCTCCTACATTTTTTTCTCCTACTCTGCCCGGGACCTTCTACTGGGAGCTGATCCTGGGTGGTTAGTGGTTGTCAGGCCCTGTCTAGTTCCTCTGCTCTCCAGCTGTGATTCCTGTCATCTGTTCAGCCTTTCGACTAATTGTTTCTTGAGTCCTGATGGGAAGAGACCAACGGTTGGCCGCTGTGTTGTTGGAAGACCCCACACTGACTGAAGTAGGGTGCAGGCCATTTCTTTGTGGGCTCTGCTATGCCATTGGATCTACAAGGTGCTGATGAGACTCACTCTTCTAGAAAGAGTTTTAAAATTCAGGAGCGTGATTAAATGCGATTTACTCTTACGTAGGGGAGTTGTCATGTACTCATGTCTCAGAGCCAGAAAAAAGTGGCAGTGTGATACTTTCCCTTCCCCAAGGAGGGCTTAGGGTCCAGCCATCTCTGACCGCCTTCTCTCTCCTCTTTCAAGATGCCAATGTGCGGCGGTACCTCCAGATGACACAGTCGGAGCTCAGCAGCTACCGTCAGAAAGAGCAGCAGCTTTACCTGGGCATGTTTGGCTAACAGGGAAGATGCCCCTGCACGTGCACATGGGTGGACTGTTAAAGACCCATCGGGGGAGGACCCGAGCCTCAGCAGGAGACAGACACCCCATACCTCTGGCCCACGTGGCTCACTTTTGCCCCCAGTTCTTCACAAACTCTCTCATCTTTACACAGGCCTGTTCCTTTTGTGTCTCCAGCTTTGTACAGCTTTCAATACATGTTGTACTGGAGCGTTTTCACCTTGGGGAAGAAACATTTTCACCAGAACGTTCCCTGGGGGAATGTTTTCATTAGAACCTTGACCAGAAAACATTCAGCAGCCCTGTCATCCATGAGGGACGTAGCCCTATCAGTGGCCTAGGTTTTGTTGATAGATCTCTTGACATCTGTTTATATGCCGAGAGGAGCAAAGCGGGCGGAGGCGAGAATAGCCACGATCGGTGGAAAGCAGTGTCTTGCTTCGTTTCCCGAGATGCCCAGAGCCAGAGTGATACGGGCCACAGACCTCGGGCTCTATTTTTTGGTGATGCTAAAATACATCGGGCCCAAGTCTATGAAAATACAATCCCTGGCTATCCCTTACCCACCTTTGGTTACATTATACTTGCTGATCCTCCTTGATAGTCACACACATTGCGCTTCGCTTATCCTGCAAAGTGTGTGCCCCGTTGTTTCTCTCGGGACTTTCGTCTCTCAGATCATAAATAAGCCTATTTATTTTTCCATTAAACGATTCTATCTCAAGCACCTCAGGAGTCCAGTGTTTAAGTATTCATGACTCTTCAGCCCTCGGGCCCCAAACCCACCCACGTACACATTCTCATTTTCAGTGTGCATCTATCTGTAGTATGCTTACTTCACTAACACACACACACACACACAGAAAGACAAGCTGCCAAGTCGTCTAGAAACAAAACCATCATCCAAACCAAACTCACTTGAGTCTTACAACTCAGATCGACCCCATGTGACAGAGGGCAACCGGCCCCGAGGATTTCTGAGGCTATCCGTCACTATGGGAGCAGACAGCCTCATCTTTCTCCCGTGGAGCAGCTGGTGGTTTCTGACTGCTAACCTTACAGTTAGCAGCCCAACACGTGACCCCTACGCCACCAGGATACTTACAAACTATCCCATAGGGTTCACTTCTTGAACCCTGTATCTTGCAGGCATCCCAGACCTTCCAGAGGAGGAAAACACTGAGGAAGAAGGACGTGCCTGCTTTGGTCCCTTTGAGCACAAATCAAACTAAACTCTGGAGGCTGCCTGGGCTGTGGCGGCAGGTCTGATGTGGCCTTGGCTCAGCGCCAGCTCCCTCAAACCGACGTCTCTGTCCTCGTGGAGAGCTTCGTGAGGAGGAGGTGGACACGTGATGGGGTCTTGGGGAGGTCTGGCAAATCCATAACCCAAAGAATCCGCCACAGGTACTGGAATCTCTTGCGTGGGAGTTTGTGGCCATAAATGCCATACACCTTATCAGTCCTTGGTATTTCCCACAGCATTTGAAGATTTTGTATGAGAGAAAGGATCCGAAGTGGCTATGGAAGCCCATACGTCGGCACCTAGAGGACTGTTTAGGACGGTGTTTCCCAAATCCACATTCCCACCTTCAGAATTTTGTCTAAACGACATCCTCCCTGTACTACCATGAGTCAATATGTAAGCTATAGAGTATGTTTGATCACCCATTTATTTTTAAATGAACCTTTGGAGGAACATGTGAAATGAGGTCAAGGGGATACAATCAATGAACTCCAGACTGGGGAACCATTGTTCCTACGTGCTGTGGCTTCCGTTCCCACCCATCATGACCATGCACAGCAGGAATCCTGCCCATGGTTTAGGAGCTCCAGCTGAGAACTGAACATGAATGCTTGCTTTTCCAGAGAAGACATGTTGCACGTGGTCCTGACCTGACTGCTCACAATGGTTAGTGTGTTCCCAAGGCCGCAGAGGTATAGCAAGACCCAGACATCTTAGGCACAGGTATTTGTTATGTCTTGGTCTTAGAAATTCGTGTTTTGAGGCAACCAATCTTTTTTTAAAAAAATTTTTATAGGGCATAAAAATTCACATTTCTAAACGTAACTGGTGCTTACAGAGATTTTGATTCTATCTTTTCTCTTAGAGGAGTTGGGAAAAAGTGTTGTACTCAGCTAGAATTTCTACTCCTTTCACCGAGGATTTCAGGGCATGTGGTAGCACAGATGAGCAGCTACTGGAAAGGGAGTTGCCTTGCATAAATAAGACAGGAAGCCCCTGCTAAGTCAGTCAGAAGGCTTTTCTGATGTGGAGAGTGAAAGGCATTGAGCTCATTCACCAGCGAACACGCGACTCACCATTTGCTTTCTCTCATGTCCTCACTAAGGAGCTGGCTTTGGTCAGAGGTTCAATGTTCGCTGCCCAGCTGTCTCCGTCCTATAAGGTAATCATCCTAGGTTACTATGCAGAGCTCGCCAGGCTGGATTCCGAACACTTCTTTGTGTTGGCATCCTTTGCCTCCTTGACGCTTAGTTTCCGGGTGTCAGAGAGAAGGGCTTGGAGGAAGCCCTCTCCTCAATTCTAGATGACCACTCTTCCCCACAGGCATGGAGCCTGGCCCCTCTAGAGCTCTTTTTGTGTATGCATCCCACATCAGCGTCCCAAATCCCCCCTCCATTTCTCAGGGGTCTCCACTGTCAATACTCCTCCGAATGGTGTCAGGTCAACAATCACCTCTCTTAGGTTCTTGGCCATCCCACTTAGACAGGGAGGGCGTTGCCCGCGCCCTTGAGGAACCATGAAGACCCATTCACCTGGGATTTGGGACCTTACTCGTCCTTGACCCAGGTCCTGTTGGGTTACAGTCACAGGGAGATTATGGACTTAGAAGGGAATTGACTCATGTGACCTCACACACATCAGGATAGAACTGGGCTCCACAGGGTTTTCCACGGCTGATTTTTTTTTTTTTTTCCACAAGTAGGTTACCAAGCCTTTCTTCCAGGTGAAGGTGCTGTCTCTGGTTGGACTCGAACCTTTTAGTTAACTGCTGAGCACCACAACCCTGGCACCACCCAAGGGCTGCCACTGGTCCACATTATTGTCCTGGGCCTGCAAGTAGATCCTGACTCCTCGCAGCCCCATAGCACTACCCTGGGGGCTCTTCCAGGCAGTCTCTTCTGAGAGCTAGCACCAGGTCTTTGCGCCTCCAAATGGGCCGGTGGGTTTGGACCACAAGCCTTTGGATGGGCAGCTCAGCACTTAAAACCACTGTGCCACTAGGGAGCCCTTACTCCCCCATAGCACCTGTCATTTCTATACTGCCACGGGCCCTCAACCTCCCCTCTGAAATAGGCTGCCATGGGGTTTAGGCCCTTGCTTTTCAGCTTCTCCTCCACAGAGACCTCAGTTCACATGTCCACAGCGCAGGCAGACATGGCTAGTCCTCGGTGCAGTATGTCATTCAAAGAACCCACCAGAGCTTTTCTTTCTGTGGAAAACCCAGGTAATGGACCAAGAGAACAAAGCCAAACAGGCTAAAAACGACCTCCTGTTTTTTGTGAACGAACATCCACACACTTTTCAGCCAGCCCAGCACACAAAGTGTTGGAGTCGCAAGTCAGGGTTCAAGTCCTGGCTTGCTTTTTAACTAAGTGACCTAGACCAAGGAAGTGCTTCTGATGAGTCTCAAATTTGCTTATTGTTAAGAAAATATTCATTCAAAAAGAAATGAAAAAAAGAAAGGGGTGGAGTCTTATCTCAAAGTTGTTGAGGATGAAATGACACTATGGTGCACCCGACAAAGCTCAGCCCCAAGGAGCGCAGCCAAGGCAGATGATGGTGATCAACCGGGTTGGTGCAAAATGTTCCCTCCTCCTGTTTTTGCTCAGAAGCAACCTGACCTTCACCCCAACCCCAAGGACGAGGGGGGCTTCAAAGAAGTGTGTGGAGCATGGAAAGAAAAGATCATGGAACCCAAGAGGCAAGCGAATTTTGGGAATGATGAGGGCAACAAATGTATAGATGTGCTCTACACAATCGATCTATGTATTGTGATGAATTGTATGCGCCCCAATAAATTGATTTAAAAAAAAAAAAGATCATGGATTTTTTTTTTTTTTGCTTTGTGAATTTTGTGAAGCTCTCTCCTGAGGATGTCAACTTCCTGGAGAGAGAGAGAATGAAGAAAGAAGTCAAGGGGCGTGCACAGGTGTGCAGAAGAAACCAGCCAACACCAGTTCAAAGAAGGCCACTTCCACTGTTCACTTTATGGTCCGGGTGCAGGGTGGGACGTGAACAAACACACCGCAGAAGTCCCAGGCAGTCCCGTGCTCTTAAGCTGAAGGAAAAAGACAGGGTGTCTCCACCGGCCTGTCCTCCCAGCAAGAGTGCCCCCAGCCTTCTTCGCTGTCCCACCCAAAAAGGTGGTCCGAGCAGGCCTCGTAACTGCTCCTACTTTCACCTCCCACCCCCATGTTAATTTGGGGGGCCAAGTACAAAATCTTTGGGTGGCCCTCCCCCAGCACCGCTCGGTCTGTCTGGTGTCGGGGAGCCGGGGAGAGGCGGCCCACTGCCGAGCAGGGGGCCAGCTTCTGGATCCGGTTTGCTGCGCTTGGCCAGTTCCTCGTTGTGGGCCTTGCGGATGTGGCGGTAGAGGTCCCCGGACTGCGTGTATCTGCGCAGGCAGTAGCGGCACTCGTAAGGTCGCTCCCGCGTGTGTACCGTGGCGTGTCGCCGAAGCGTGTAAGAACAGGAGAAGGTCTTACCACACGTCTTGCAGGTGGGCACATCCTCCGTAAAGACCCCGAAGCTTCCGGGGGCTGCTTCATACTCGGAAGGCATGAAAAGGGGTTCGTGCAGGACAGGGGGCGTGGGCAGGGGCGAGGTCACCAGCGCTCGGTGATACTGCCCTGGCCCTGGCAGCAGATGGTAGGGTAGGTGAAGGTCAGGGGGCAAGTACTGGTCACTTGGCCCCACCTCCGCCAATCCTGCTTGCCCAGGCTCCTCAAACGCCTCTGGCTGGGGAGGCCGCCCCCCAAACACGGCACCTCCAGATGCGAAGAGCTCCCCAGAGCCCCGGGGCTGTTCCTCTGCCACATCAGACTCCTCATCAGAGATCACAATAGCTTCTACTTTCACCTGAACCAGCTCAGCTTCGGCTGGGGCTGGGGCCTGGGGTGCATCTGGTGCTGCAGCAGGGGCAGAGGCAGGGGTGGGGGCTGGGGCTGGGGCAGGGGGATAGTAGCCTTGCAGGGGCCCTCCAGCACCCCTCGTTTCCACCACCCTCAGACTCTCAGGCCCCACGTGAAGAGGAGCCAAGGGCTCTGCTGAAACCGTTGCGAGGCCCGGGGAGTAGTAGTTGCCAGGAAGGGTCTCTGTAGAGCTACTGGGGCTGGCAAGCGCCACCTCAGCTCCTGTCGGCGGGGGAGGTGCCCGGAGATGCGGGGAGTCCACTTCCACGCCAGGCTGTGTGGTGTCGGCCCCACCGGGCATTGAGAGCTCATCCGGAGGACGGACAGTAGGCGAGGGGGCGGCAGGGCCTTTCCAGTCCCCTTTGGCCCAGTGGCCCGATGTCTCCTCGGAAGCCAAGGCAGGCTGGAAGCCATGGGAGCTACTGGACAAAAACTCCAAGCTCGGGGTGTGCGGGCTGGTCTCCTCCTCCTTCTTGGTACTGTCGGCCTCTGCCAGGGCCCGGGCCTGCAGCCGGCGCTTACACACCTTGACGATGTCGTTCATGTGCAAGTAGCTGGCGGCTGCCAACACATCCTCCACGGGGGTCTCCCCCCACAGGGCCAGCTGGCCTGCATACATGAAGTCCAGCAGCAGCCCAAAGGCGGGCGCCGTGACAATCTCGTTGTGGATACACACCAGGTCCCTCTTGTCCAGTTCCCGCTCCTTGTAGAAAAGCTGGAAGAAGGGGCTGCAGGAGGCCAGCACGGCCCGGTGGGCTAGGAACTGGGTGCTGCCCACCATCACGGTGCAGTCACAAAGGAAACCCTGGGAACGTTGCTCCCGGAGGCTCTGGAGCAGCTGCTGGCTGTGTTCTGGAAACTCCATTGCATGCCCCCGAAGGGGAGGGGCCCTAGCAAGGTCCCCGCGGGTGCCTTCCTGGGAAGAGGGGGCAGTGGGTTAGGCCAGGTAACCTCCCCAGCGACCTTAGCACCAGCCCGCAACATGCCACCCCCAGGCCTCGGCACACCTTCCCGTCCCCAGGAACGTCAGTTACGTTACTCCCCTCCTTTCTCCTAGGTCACTCGAAGTGGTCTCCAATTAGCTCCGCCCCCCGACCTAACCTTAGTACCACGAACCGCCTCCGTCGGAAAAGCCACGCCCCCGGAAGTCCCACCCCTGGCCAGCCTCCGCCTTCTCGGTGCCCACCCGGTAGCTTCCAGCAGCTCCTCCGAGGACCAGTCTCTTTCGCTCTCAGACCTTTTCCGGGGACGTGCTTACGCCCAGCCCCAGGACCTCCTCGGGCCTCTCCCTCTCGCATCCCAGGAGCTAAGGAGTGCTCGGGTGGGAATTAGCGGAGAAAGCCGATCCCTCACCCACCACCACGCACCCACCGGGAGAACTCCGCCTTCTTCCACCTCCTCAGTTTCAATTGGTTCACGCTCGCCTTTCCCCGCCACCCATTGGTTCACTGTCTACGAACCCGCCCCCGCGCTCTGACTGGCGTTCAAGTGCGTGCCCGCGGCCACGGCTCCGGAAGCTCGGCGTCGGATTGGTTGATGATCCTGTCCTAAACTTTTCTTCCTCGTCCCGCCTCCTGTGCCTCAGTGCCCCTTTGGATTGGCTGAGTGTCTCAAGCTACCTGAGTCCTCCCGAGGGCCTGGGCGGGGAGGTTTAGGGAGCTGAGCTGGGGAGCCTCGAGTGGCGTCATTGCATCTGCAGGGTGAGCACATCGCTCCCGGCCTGGGAGCCAAGAAGCCCGAGCCCTAGACCTGTAACCATGAGTATCAGACCACACGCTCTGAACTGTAACTGCCTCTTGAAGGTCTCTACCTCCCTCAGATTTGCTTTAATTCCTAATACAAGTAATATTGTATCACTTGGAAGAGTGGACACAATATATTGAAGCTGAAGCCAGAGTGGCTTGCATGTCCCTAGTACAGCCTCTAAATCTAGTTAGATCTGATTGGAGGCTTGACTACCGAACAAGTTGGATGTGTGTAGTGTGGTGGGTGAGAGTGAGACCCAGGCCACTGAGTCACTGCTCCGGTAACATTGGTAACCATCTTGTGCCAGTCAGAGGAGCAGCCACCAAATTCATGGCTACCCTACTGGTCAGGTGAGAACTTCAGCAGTCACTAGCCAGTAGTACCCAAAGCGATTCCGTGCAATCCCTTTCAAATGACCAGCAGCAGAAATAGAATAAAACACCCATCCTAAAATCCAGACTTCCCAGTTTTAAAACTTACTACAAAGCTACTGTCATCAAAACAGTGTGGTACTGGCATAAGGCTAAACATACAGACCAATGGTGAATAGAGAGCCCAGATAAACCCTCACATGCATGAGGAGGCTTCAAAAGTTCATAGGGGGGAAAAAAATCTTGTATTTCAACTCCGTTTCCCCCCCATTAAAACAGGTTACGAAAGACTGGATTCTTCCACTCCAATATTCCAAGTTCAGATGATTGTGAGGCACTTCCCTTGGCCCACACCCATAGGCTCAATCTCACATCCAGTTAATATTGAACCTTGTGGCATATTGTACTACAATCGATCTTAGTCAAAAGGCTGAGAAGCGATGTGGCATATTATAATAGCTACATCATTTTTTATGTATTTTCCCCCTGGTAAGCCTGGCTCCAGCTTTGTTATTCTCAATTGAGCAGAGAAAAAAACAACAACTTTCCTTTAAGCGTGTACCAGTAACACCTTGGATGTTTTGAAGCCCCAATGATGTCAGACCATGAAAGAGGGAAAGCTGAATCTTGGCAACAAATGGTGTTAGGGAAACTGAAAAAAGGAAAAACCCAAAACTCGGTGCCATAGTGAGTAGAACTGCCCCTTTGGGTTTCTGAGACTCCAAATCTTCACGGGAGTAGAAAACTTCATCTTTCTCCCGTGGAGCAGCCGGTGGTTTCAAACTGCTAACCTTGCTGTTAGCCACCCAACACATAACCCACAAGCCACCAGGGTTTCCAGGGGGAAATGAGATATGCACATTTAAAAGAATGGAATTGGACCTTACTTGACGCTGTAAGTGTGACTTAAAGCTGACACATACAAAGAGTCATTGCCAAAAAGTGAAGAAAACTATTATCCCCACTTTTCCACTTTCACATTCTGATGCCAGCCACCAAGTCCTGGGCCTCTTGAGTCCCTGACAAACAGGCACAAGCCATACTCTCTGCTGGCTCTCACTGACGGGTTTGATCATTCACTGCAGTGACTCACAAAGCTCAGAGACAATGACCCATCCTTACAGTTACCCACTAATCATAACCAGTGGGGAGTCTTATCAGGCAAGATGGGGTGGAGGTGGGGGGTTGGAGAGAGTTCCCAGTATGAGGCCTCCATTGTCCCCAGGGACGTGCTGCATCCTTTCCCCTGCCTGAGTGTCTCACCCAGGGATGGAGTCTCCAAAAAGATTGCTCCAAGGTTAAGGGCTGCCTAGTCTTTGGGACCGATGTGAATATGCACAAATGGCGCTTTTCTTTTTTTAAAAAATAATTTTACTGGGGGCTCCTACAGCTCTTATCACAACTTATACATCCATCCATTGTGTCAAACACATTTGTACATTTGTTGCCATCATCATTCTCAAAACATTTGCTTTCTACCTGAGCCCATGGGTATCAGCCCCTCATTTCCCGCCCCTCCCTCCCTCAGGAATGGCGCTTTAATGCCTGGTTAGAAGCAATCTAATCCATGGATATGCATGACTGCATCATGTACCTCTGCCTCCCTGAAGTGAATTCCCTAGATGTGGGGCCCTATTGGCCTCCTTTAGGAAGATCCAAACCCAACCCAACTCGCTGCCATCAAGTCAATTCCAACCTATTGCTCCCCTTACGTAGGGCAGAGTGAAACTGCTCCTTGGAGTGGACGAGATTGTCACCTTGGCAGGAGCGGACAGCCTCATCTCTCATCTTTCTCCTGTTGAGCGGCTGGTGGGTTTGAACAAATGACCTACAGTTAACAGCCTAGTGGTTAGTCCAGAAAGCCAAGAAGCACCTTCATTGCTTGTTCCATTTTCAGAAACCAAAAGACCAAAGTGGGTTGATGTCCTACATCAAAAGGAGATCCAAGGGAGATGAGCCAGTCAGGGTGCGATGTAACAATGATGAGAAATACAACTTTCCTCTAGTTCCTAAATGTTTCCTCCCCGCACCCACTACCATGACTCGAATTCGACCTTGCAAGTCTGGCTAGACCAGAGGAAGTACACTGGTACAGATAGGAACTGAAAATACAGGGAATCCAGGGCGGATGAGCCCTATAGGACCAGTGGTGTGAGTGGCAAAACAGGGAGGGTAAAGGGAGAGTGGGTAGGAAAGAGGGAACCGATTACATGGAACTGTGTGTGACCTCCTCCCTGGGGGACAGACAACCGAAAAGTGGATGAAGGGAGACGTCGGACAGGGCAAGATATGACAAAATACCCATTTATAAACTATCAAGGGCTCATGCGGGAGGGGGGAGCGGGGAGGGAGGGGAAAAATGAGGACCTAATGTCGGGGGTTTAAATGGAGAGAAAATGTTTTGAGAAACGATGTACAAATGCGCTTTACACAACTGATGTGTGTATGGATTGGGATAACAGTTGTATGAGCCCCTAATAAAATGTTAAAAAAAAAAACAAAAAAAAAGGAGATCCAAGAGTTCAAGGGGAAAGACAACATTTGGAAACTGATTGTAGTAGCAATTGTACAATTCTTGTTGAACTATCAGAGTTATGGGATGTTATGACATCTGTAAGAGCTCCCAATAAAATGAGGAATTAAATTTTTAAAAAATTATCTCAAAACGTACTGAATCCCAGAATTTCAGAGCTAAAACGTGCAGAAGGAAGCATGGGCAGATCTGCCGGACAGTGTGTTGTAGGCATGCATTCTTCGATAGGACACAACAGCACGCGCACCAAGAGATGAAGGAGCCAAGTCTGAGTCCAGCAAATCTCACACTTCTGTGCAGCGAGACCCTGCCACCCCCGGAAAGCAGGGCCTGAAACTGAACTTGTCCCAATTCTGTTTCAGCCCAAAGGTCGACAGGCCTATTTGACGAAGGGAAGTGTAGGGAGGGAAGTGTACAGGCCTTAGAGCAGCGGTTCTCAACCTGTGGGTCAAGACCCCTTTGGGGGTCGAATGACCCTTTCACAGGGTTGCCTAAGACCATTGGAAAACACACATTTCGATGGTCTTAGGAACCGAGACACCACTCCTCTATCTCTCTGGGCGGGTCGCCCACATGCAGATATGCTGATCTGGTGAGAAAGAAGCTATCTCAACTTTCACACTGACATTGGCTTTTACGCATCCTGTGGCAAAATGTAGCAATGTAGTTTAGTGTTGCTATATTAAGACTGTTACCCAAGCTACACCATGCTTCAAGACAAATTTTCATTTATTTGTCATTAGAAATAAATATTTCCTAATATATAATTATTGTTTTTGCTATGAATCACTATGCTTTAATGATGTTCAATTTGTAACAATAGAAATGCATCCTGCATATCAGCTATTTACATGACAGTTCATAATAGTAGCAAATGACAGCTATGAAGGCGGGACAAAATAATTGTATGGTGGGGGGTCACCACCTGAGGAGCTGGATGAAAGGGTCGTGGCATGAGGATGGTTGAGAACCGCTGCTCTAGAAATTACAAACGGAAAGAGAAGACACAGACTCTTCCTAGGATCTCCAGAAGGAGCCCCGCTCTGCCGACACCTCACTTCGGTCCTGCGGGAATGGGTACGTTTGTGTTGTTCTAATCCACAAGAAAGCCAACAAGCCACACCACCCATGCGAAAAGGTGAGAAAGGTACAGAAACACTTAATGATGTAGTATGGACATTCATGCATACATGCACAAAAAAAGTCGTTGGCATTGCTCTAGGATTGTTCTTATCCAAGCAGAGCCTCTGACTGCGTGGTAGTCACCTTATCAGGTGTCAATTTAAGGATTAAGAGTGTAGGGGTGGAGTCTAGGCTGTCAATCTGGAGATAGTCAATGAGACTTCTGTGTGGGCATGGCCTCCTGAGAATCCTGGGAAATCTGTTACTTCCTCCTTGGAGGCGAAAGGCACCTCTCTCTCTCTGCTACTCCCTGCGAGACATTGCAGAAGACAAGCCAATGGACACAACCAGACCTCGGAAGCTGGAGAAGCCACAGAGAGATCCCTGCCAGCACTGAGATGCTTACAACGCCACTGGACCCAGGGACTTTCTACCCACTGGCTTGTGATCGTCCTGCATTTGGCTTCATTGCATGTGTTTCATGAGTCTGAAGAGGACTTTAGAGATTGGGATCGGACATATGGGCTAATATCAGACTTACGGCCT